GGACAGGCTAATAACACATATTGTGGTGCAACCAAGCAATGAGCCCAGTTTAATTATGAAAGATGATTTATACTTAACTAATATGCTAAAACTATGAGTATCAAACAAGTTTTCACACTAATACAGTAAGCTACAGGTAAATCTGACACATCTCACATTAACATGCTTTTATCATCTTTTTAAGTTGAATTCATGTGCTGGCTAGATTTACTTATTGTAGTCATTATGTCAACAAGGTTTAGCTGAATTAAATCATGGCCACGAATTAAGAACATCATAATAATCAATAAAACTAGCAATCGGGAATTAATTATTATTTCTTAGCAGTTCTCACGTTGGCTACTTAAACTTTGCATCGTTTTAAGGTTAAAAATAAAACTTAATTGAAAATCGGTAAAGTTACTCACTCTGATTGCTGTCCGTGTCGTCCATCTTTAGTGATCCGATTCGGTAGGTGGCGCTGTTACAAAAGCATAGGGTCCTAGAACTGCGGTCCTGAAACTGCAGCCTCCGGTTGTGCAGGAACATACTATTGGGCGAGTATCAATCACGCTCAGTTTTGCAAAGTCCGTGGTTTTCCCGCATGCCGCGTTTTGTAGTTTTGGGATAGTTTTGAGTAGCAATTAGGCGGGTTTTGTTGTGAAAACCTGGCAACCCTGGTCACGGTTATTGACAGTGTAAGATGATATACGATTAGCCGTGTCGGAAATCCAACCACGGATTGGCATGTTGTTATCTCAGAAACAGGCTCAGCCATAACATTGAATCAGGTAAAATGGTTATATATTTATGTTTCAGTATAATTACGCACGCTATACCAGGGGCGGTTCTAAACCCTTTTTAGGTGGGTTTCCCCCCCAAACTATCTCAAGGATCAGGCCAGTGCTGCGAGTGAAATTAGACCAACTTGGGGGGCACACGTCCTAAAAGGTTGAGAACCCCTGTACTAGAACATGTTCTCATGCTTGGTGGTTCGAAAAACGCATTATTTTTCACATAATTTACATTATTAAAATATCTTTCGTTCCGGCTTTGATGAAGGTCCGCCTTTCCGAAAAACACAATGTGTTGTGATTGGTTAGCTGTCCCAGTGCGTTGTGATTGGCGAACAGCTTAGACGGTGTTTCAGTACTGCCACACCCCTTGCTCCATCTTTCAGCTGTAGTCCAAACGAGCCATTCGCTGTAGTTCTTGAAAAGGGATTTTTTAAAAACGAAATATCTCCCTTTGGCGTGGACTTTGAGATTTGTAACTTTCTAGATCTTTTGTATGCCCAAACATACACACTACACACTGACTAAAATTCAAAAAGTGAAAAAGCATATAGGACCCCTTTAAGAAACACAGATTTGCTATAATAATGAGACAATTAAATTGAAGGTGATAATTGTGCTAAATACATTCTATTATTAATCCCTCATGACATTTGAAATTGAAAATATTTTTATTTTTAAACCTAATAGCAGTTACCCTTGCTGGACCTGTTTTGTCCCATGTCTCAAGAATGACTAAAGAACGTTTGTTTTGTATGTGACTGTTTTATGTAACAGTAAATGTGTATTCTTACGCTTCCGCCCCGAGCTCATATTAGACTCCAGAAATTGCAGCTTTTTCACCAGCTCTTTCCTCTTCGCTTCATTTCTCAGAAGGTATTTCGCCAAGGCACACGCATATTGGGTTGCTCTACAAACAAATACAATATTCAGACATAGTCTAGCTCGTCTTTAAGGGAAAATAATTTCAATCCAATGTTGTTTTGACAGATGACAAGCTTTGATAAAAGACACTGACCTGAATATGCGATCCCTGCCTTGACTCTGGTTAGTGAAGCTGATGAAAGTTTCCATGTGGCTGCAACAGAAAGTATACAACAACACTGTGCAAAACGCGATTCTTTTTGAGGAATAAATGAGTAAAAGCTCGAAAGGCAATGCATACTCAAAGTTAAAGATCCGTGTTAGTGTAGTCACTGTATGTCCTGTCAAATCCACACGATTCTGCGTGGCTGTGGGAACTGAGGTGAAAGTTCATGCAACATAACACACACAGGCATCTAAGATGTAGATAATTAACCAATTTCGGACTAACGAATTACAGGCGATTTAAAATTGATGAAGCTTTAAAAATGATTTATGATAGGCAGAGTGACAGTGTTTGGCGATAGGAAGTCCGACTCATTTTCCGGAATCGATTGTTTTGAACAGTTTGTTCGAAAACCATTCCATTTTACGTCATGACGAAATTGCATCATCACATGGTTCCTGCCATTCAAGTCTGATTTTAATCAAAGTTGTCAAATAAAACGTATGTAGGCACACTGTCTTATTAATAAGCATGTTTAATGTAATTTGACGTATCCCCGTTTTGTTTGTTGCAGCTATGATTCAGCTGAAGTTGTAAACTTGTTTCCAGTAGCCTATATTTTATTTGTAATATTTCTTCTATTGCCCCAAAAGTAAAATCCTCCTGGCTTTGAACAATTCGTAAACGAATGGTTTTAGACTGGCTTTGTGAACCTGTTTCACGACTCAAAAGAACGATTCATTCACGGTCACGTATTGTTTGGTTCATGTTCCCAACATACTCTACATTTTATGAACGTTTTAAGTTGTGTTACTATTATAAAGAAGATCAGTAATTCTATGTTGTTTCTGTCATTTTTTTTAAATCGGATGTTTTTGGATGACGTAGCCTAAGTCACGGTGTGTACTTCCTGATTTAACTGACCAATGACTGGCTCAGGTTTGAAGAATGGAAATACCTGGGGCATGTTCAAGCTCAAACCGTGTGTGCACCGTTTTGCTACGGTTTCCGTTTTGAACGACATGTTTCCTGGAAACGGTGTGCAATGGGGTTTGAGATGCGTTTTCTCTTGTTTGGTGGGTGTGTCAAACCTGTCAGCTCTGCCATAGCTGCAACTCTTGCGTCATCAGAACAGTGTGTTCAACGCACCACCATTTCTGTTTAAAAAACGTTTTGCACCGTTTTTTGTCGTGCCTGAACGTAGCCCTGGATTAGAACTACAGGTTAGTACCTGTTCCTTATGATTCTACTTTTACATTTAATTTCGTTATTGATTTTTTTGTTATTATTTTGTGACTGGAAAGTGTGAATGTGATCATTTGCATTTTACTTGCAGTACAATTAAATATGTTACATATGATCTATTTCATATGATGATGATTGTTGTTGCTACAGACAAGTGACAATTGAATTCTCAAGCATTCTTTATTTAGGCTGTGAGAGTGTGTGCATTTTAAAGTAGTTGTCTGAATTCTGAAAGTGTGTTCATAATTAGCATAAGTCCAAAATCACCAGGGACTGTAAAATCTCTTTAGTAACTGTGTGTGTCAAAAAAATAGAAAATTCTTTACATATAACGCATCATAAAAAGCGGGGCCTTGACAGTCCAACTGAGTGACTTGGATGAGATTACCAGGCATACATTCTATTTTTATACATGCTACGTGACGATTTGAACGGCTCCCATTTTGGAGGAATATGTCCAGACAATTATTTGTGCTTGTTGTAATTCAGTAGCATCTGTCTATTATTGTCTACAGGGAAAAAAAATAAAAATAGATTATAGATTTCAAATTTATTATCATCTATTACTATGAAAAGGCCTTGTTTTGCTGTCAGTATAGTTTATAGAAAATCATATGTCTAGAAATGCATTCCCTTTGAAATCCGACAGTGAAAGCTCCTTTTAGTATAATGCATGCTTCTCATTTTTTAAATAAAGATGATATAGACTGTGAAATTTAAAATGCATCATCTATGATATTTTTCTTGGCCTTTGGTTATTCCTTTTGATGTGATCTATTACATGTTATATATCTACAATGAGGTTTCTCATTATTATTGTTTCTGATGTACAGCCTGAAAGAGAATATTTGAAATTGGGGAAATTCTTTTTCATTAAGGTAGTAATCGTCTTTGATTGATGACTCTAAGGCCAAAATGATATGATTAAAGCCAGAGTTCATTAAAAGAATAGTTCACCCAAAAATGAAAATGCATGAGAATGTGGAAGGTGATGAGGATGAGGAAATGAAAATGAAAGTGTATGAGGATGAGGAAGTGATATAATGCTACATTCTTCAAATCTGTTCTGATGAAGAAACAACCTCATCAAATCAAGTAAATTGTTTAGCAAATTTTCATTTTAGGGTGAACTATTCCTTTAACGCTGGCAGTCATTGCTTCTGGAAACTTGCATAGCCTATATTTTAAAATGACCAGCTCTATACAGAATAAATTATTTATTTTATTTTTACACACACACACGCGTGCATATATATATATATATATATATATATATATATATAGTATATATATAGTGCACATAGAATTATTTTTACTTTACTAAAACGTCTATGTGTCATGCTGTGAAACTCGGATCAGTTTAAGCATACACCTGCAGGGGGCAGTGTTTAATCAAGAATGATTCTCAAAAAATAACTTCGCACACACCGGCTCATCGTACCTCAATCATAAATTCAACCACCTCAAGGATGCAATATGGCATTTAGAAAGGCAGTTCAGGTGAAAGGCCGCCCCAATTAAACATGCAGTTTTTAGACATTTTTATCAATTATCACTTTCAATCCATTTCTATCTTATTATGGATTTGCTATATTGCCATTATCAGTTGTTTCAGGCTATATTGGTGTAATGAAATGGTTTTGGACAAAAGAAAATTATGATATGGCAACAGATTTGCACGCATGACATTGCCTCAACTATTACAGAGGTATTCCTGGAACAGCTGAAGTTTATTGAGAAAAGCACAGATGGTTTACCCAAGAATATTGTGTTCTTGAAGAAGCATATTCATGTGGTTTATTGAAAAACAATGCATTTAACCAATGCATTTTCAGCTGTCGCTGTGTAGAGCATAACACTAATTCTTGGTTGTTGACTATACCAGACTGCCGTGTTGATGTGTCTTAAACTGTCACAGATGCTTAATGCCACACATTTTGAAATGAGTCATGACTAAGATCAAGATGATTACATGGTGTTAAGTATTTACAGAGACACACATTACGCTTAAGAAAGCTGTTAAACATGAACAAGTTACACAAAGACATTTTTTATGAACAAGATATTCGATGAAAAATGAATACAGAAATGAATTCCAGGAAAACAAAGAATCTCACTTTGTTATTGAAATTATTGACTGAAGCACAGGCTATTTTAAGCATTCCTGGAGGCGAGTAAAACTAAATTATATTTTTCTCCTTTGTCCTTGAACAGGAGGTTATTTAGAGGTATATTCAAAAGGGTTGCCAGGTGCAGTACATCATGCTCTGTTGTGCAAGACTGGAGATAACACAGCGTGTTGTGAATGCCCTCAAATCTTTTAAGGTTTTATAAGAAGCTGTTTTAGCTTTGTTGTGATACACTTGTATATGTAATTTTCTGCCAGGACATTATTCATTCATTTTATGGACATTTCTGTTAACTCTAAAACACAATGCAGTGCAGTGCAAAATTCAAAATACAGCAAAAACATCTGTAAAAAATCGATACAAAAAATCCCTTCATATTAATATAGTTTGATCAGAATGATTAAGCTCAAAGATGCATGTAAATGGCTTTCTTTCTTTCTTTTGGATTATGCTTCCTTTTAGAACTGACATAATGGTAACTGTTTTTATAGTTTATGGTATTTTGCTGCTGCTTTTAAACCTTATTGTAACATTTAGTTCTGCTTTTAGACATCCTTGCAGCGAGAAAAGTGCATATTTGTTTGTTCCTCTGCTTTGATTTGCGGAAGGAGGGCTTTAGTTTATCAGATACAATATATAAATGTATATATTTGATTATTAAAAAATACCATTAAAATAAAGTTATTAAATAAAATTTAAAATAAAATAATTAAAACTAATAACAATAATAAAACATGCAGGTATGTGTCTGATCAAAATGTATAAAGTAGCTAGTTTGCAATAAAAAAATCCTTGAATTTTTCCATAATGCTCTTACAGTTGTATGTACACATTTGTGGGGATAACAGATATTATTTTATTGCTGTTTTGTTGATATCTGCTTGGTTTGTTTCTTATTCAGTACATGGACTCATGGAATGCAATTAGAAAACATGCATTTTACGCTTTCATTCTACAAATTATAGACATTGGCATCCTACATAATTTCTTAGAGGCACACCTGTACAATTGTATACTTTTGTTTGTTTGTTTTTTAACTCTCAGATTCATATCACATGTACAGTCATTATTCCAACCTCAAAAGATATATCATTTGGAAAGTGAGCCTTTCATGTTTATTGAGGCTAGCCAAAGCCCTCTAAAGAAGCAGCTGTTGAACAAGTTGCATCAAACAGATATGCATTCAAGCTGTGTGTTCAAGTGAAAGAGACAAAGCTATTTCATGGAGCTTTGTTTTGGTCAAAAGATAATGATTTTCTTGTTTTTCTTTTTCTTCAGCTAAAATGTCTTTCACATATATTAGCATTGTTGTTTTATGTGACAACAAATGACACTATGAAATAAACATTTGTATCTCTTTGTTCTATGAAATTTGTTTACTAAAGATCTTCACGCATATTGCAGTATGTAGCATATCAGTGGCATTAAGGCTAATTTATTCACACAGTCTGGGCTGAAAGTGACCCGAGTGTAAATGTGAAATGCATCATTCAAAAAATGAAAACTTTTCAGTTCAAATTGTATAAATGTATCTATTTCTGTGTCACAATGATGAATAATGTATTTTGCCTCTCTCTCCAAGGAGCCTACAGTACATGTCAATGAATTGTAAGACTAGATGCTAGCAAAGGTTTAGAAAGAAAATCTGTCTATCACTGTGCTGTAAATTTCAATCAGACAAACAACCTCGAAGCCTGTTTCTCGCTAGTTTTACATTATACAGTATGCATTTAACACTGAGTTCTAATATAGGCTGAACATATTATGAAGATGTCGGGTGATATTTACCTTATAATATATTTACCTACTTTTCCAGGACTGCAGTATTGTATTATGCAAATAAAGGTCCAGGATATACATTT